CAGATTCCAGGCGCACCTGGGAACTCCTGTGCACCCACAGGTGGTCCCAACGTATGTTTTCGCGAAGCCAAGGGCGCTCTGTTCGGGACACGCACGTCGAGCATGGCTCCAGATGGCCCAAAAGGACCGTTCTGGAGCATTCTTGGACGCCTCGTGGGCAGTCTTGGAGGCCCCGGAGAGCGGCCCAATGATTTCAAATCGTGAAAATCCAGCGGCTTTTATATGATTATGGCATTGCCGTCTTTTCGGTCTTTAGGGCGTCCAGGACGGCTAAAGAGGCGCCCAGGATCGCCCCGTAACGGCCCAAAATCCCCCCCAAGAGGGCCCAAGAGGCCCCCAGGGCAGCCCCAAGGGGAGGCCAATATGGGGAACACGAACTGACATTTCGAGCCCTCCGCTGCAAAATGACTCCAAGATCCCCCCGCAAGCCCCCGAGGTGCGCCCAACAGGCCTCGAGAGGCTCAAATCCGGCCCCAAGAAGCTCCTCAGACACCCTCAAAATCGCCTCCAAGAGGTATCCGCGAGACCTCCCAAGAGATCCTCACAAGCATGCCGGAGGCAGCGGTATGGGCCGAAGGCCACTCGATAATCAATGCTGGCGCGAGCTGACATTGAAGGAATCGGAGCGCGTTCCCACCGAGCGAACGGAAAGCGTTCGCGCATGCGCCGCGCCGATACAGCTCTGCCACTCTCGCTCGCAAGGTGCGCGTCACTTGGGCGAGGTCGGCAGTTCGTCCGCTCTCGCGCGGCCCCAGTGCCGCTGTCGTGGGATCGGGCGCGTCCCCCCTTGAGGCAGATTTTCGGCGAAAAATAAGAAGTAACAGCAACAATGCCCCCAAAATCTTCAAAAATTGTCGAAATCGTCCTCGTAAACCATTTTTACCTAACAGCGAAGACTGATAGGTTTCTAATGGGCTAAAAACAAAGCAGCAGATGACTCCACAGGGGGGTCTGGGCGGGTGCCGGACAGGGTGCCGCAGAAGTCGTTTCAAGCCAACAGTCACACACTTCGTGCTCTTCGACCTCCCAGAACTCCATTCCCGGGCCACATTCTGAATGCCCGGAGCCAACTGTAGGCCACTTCGTGCTCTTCGACTTCCCAGAACTCCATTCCCGGGCCACATTTTGAATGCCCGGAGCCAACTGTAGGCCACTTCGTGGTCTTCGAGTCCCAGAACTCCATTCCCGGGCCACATTTTGAATGCCCGGAGCCAACTGTAGGCCACTTCGTGCTCTTCGAGTTCCCAGAACTCCATTCCCGGGCCACATTTTGAATGCCCGGAGCCAACTGTAGGCCACTTCGTGCTCTTCGAGTTCCCAGAACTCCATTCCCGGGCCACATTTTGAATGCCCGGAGCCAACTGTAGGCAACTTCGTGCTCTTCGACTTCCCAGAACTCCCATTTCCTGGGCCACATTTTGAATGCTGAGGCAGGCTGATGCTGCGGTCGAGGCAGGCTGGGGCTGAGGCAGGCTGAGGCTGAGGCCGAGGCTGAAGGCAGACTGAGGCTGAGGCTGAAGCAGACTGAGGCCGAGGCTGAGGCAGGCTGAGGCTGAGGCTGAGGCAGGCTGATGCTGAGGCAGGCTGAGGCTGAGGCTGAGGCTGATGCAGGCTGAGGCTGAGGCAGGCTGAGGCTGAGGCCGAGGCTGAAGGCAGACTGAGGCTGAGGCTGAAGCAGGCTGAGGCTGAGGCTGAGGCAGGCTGAGGCTGAGGCAGGCTGAGGCTGAGGCTGAGGCAGGCTGAGGCTGAGGCTGTGACTGCGACTGCCGTTGCCGCTGCGACTGTCATCGCGAATGCGACTACGACTGCGAGAACAGCAGAATTCTACAACTGGATTTTCATCTGAATCTTAAGGGGAATGCTTTCAGATATGCTTCTACACAACGCTGTTAGGTTGCTTTGCCGGGATAATTACCTAACAGCGAAGACTGATAGGTTTCTAATGGGCTAAAAAGAGAGCAGCAGATGACTCCACAGGGGGGTCTGGGCGGGTGCCGGACAGGGTGCCGCAGAAGTCGTTTTAAGCCAACAGTCACACACTTCGTGCTCTTCGACCTCCCAGAACTCCATTCCCGGGCCACATTCTGAATGCCCGGAGCCAACTGTAGGCCACTTCGTGCTCTTCGAGTTCCCAGAACTCCATTCCCGGGCCACATTTTGAATGCCCGGAGCCAACTGTAGGCCACTTCGTGGTCTTCGAGTCCCCAGAACTCCATTCCCGGGCCACATTTTGAATGCCCGGAGCCAACTGTAGGCCACTTCGTGCTCTTCGAGTTCCCAGAACTCCATTCCCGGGCCACATTTTGAATGCCCGGAGCCAACTGTAGGCCACTTCGTGCTCTTCGAGTTCCCAGAACTCCATTCCCGGGCCACATTTTGAATGCCCGTAGCCAACTGAGGCTGAGGCAGGCTGCTGCTGAGGCAGGCTGAGGCTGAGGCTGAGGCAGGCTGAGGCTGAGGCAGGCTGAGGCTGAGGCTGAGGTTGAGGCTGAGGCTGAGGCTGAGGCAGGCTGAGGCAGACGCTGAGGCAGGCTGATGCTGAGGCAGGCTGAGGCTGAGGCTGAGGCTGATGCAGGCTGAGGCTGAGGCTGAGGAAAAGGTTGAGGCTGAGGCTAAGGTTGAGGCTGAAGCTGAAGCAGGCTGAGGCTGAGGCTGAGGCAGGCTGAGGCTGAGGCTTAGGCAAGCTGATACTGAGGCAGACTGAGGCTGAGGCTGAGGCAGGCTGAGGCAGGCTGAGGCTGAGGCAGGCTGAGGAGGCAGGCTGCAGGCTGAGGCTGAGGCAGGCTGAGGCTGAGGCCGAGGCTGAAGGCAGACTGAGGCTGAGGCTGAAGGCAGGCTGAGGCTGAGGCTGAGGCAGGCTGAGGCTGAGGCTGAGGCAGGCTGATGCTGAGGCAGGCTGAGGCTGAGGCTGAGGCTGATGCAGGCTGAGGCTGAGGCAGGCTGAGGCTGAGGCTGAGGCTGAGGCTGTGGCTGTGGCTGAGGCTGAGGCTGAGGCTGAGGCAGACGCTGAGGCAGGCTGAGGCTGAGGCAGGCTGAGGCTGAGGCTGAGGCTGATGCAGGCTGAGGCTGAGGCAGGCTGAGGCTGAGGCCGAGGCTGAAGGCAGACTGAGGCTGAGGCTGAAGCAGGCTGAGGCTGAGGCGAGGCAGGCTGAGGCTGAGGCTGAGGCAGGCTGATGCTGAGGCAGGCTGAGGCTGAGGCTGAGGCTGGCAGGCTGAGGCTGAGGCAGGCTGATGCGGAGGCAGGCTGAGGCTGAGGCTGAGGCAGGCTGAGGCTGAGGCTGAGGCTGATGCAGGCTGAGGCTGAGGCAGGCTGAGGCCGAGGCTGAAGGCAGCTGAGGCTGAGGCTGAAGCAGGCTGAGGCTGAGGCTGAGGCAGGCTGAGGCTGAGGCTGAGGCAGGCTGATACTGAGGCAGGCTGAGGCTGAGGCTGTGACTGTGACTGCCGTTGCCACTGCGACTGTCATCGCGAATGCGACTGCGACTGCGAGAACAGGAGAATTCTACAACTGGATTCTCATCTGGATCTTAAGGGGAATGTTTCCATATATGCTTCTACACATCGCTGTTAGGTTGCTTTGCCGGGATAATTTTAAACTACGTTGAAGCACTCCTCCTGTCGAGGGACAGGCCCGACTCAACGCTGCCGTTGTGGCGCGCTCCGGCCAAACCGATCCCGGCGCCGCGCCCCGTGCGGGCGCACTCCGCTCCCGGGCGGCGCGCGCGCGGAGCCCGGGCGGGGGGGCGACGAGCCGCCCGCGCGCGCGGGCCTCCCCGGGAGCTGGCCATCGCTCGGGCGTCCATTCCCTGTGCTGTTTTTCGGTTTCGCGCGCGGTTTTTTTTTCGCCCAAGCGATCGAGGATGCTCCTCGGTGGCCCTCGCCGAAGGGAAGATGCACACGTCCGAGCGATGCCAAGAGAGGCGGCGAGCGCCCGAGCCTGCGCCGCCCGAGGCGGGAACTGCGCGGCGCCGGGGCGAGAGCGGCATTTCCCTCCCGCTTGCGCGTGGATGAAGCGGCGTGGAGAAGGAGGAGGAGGAGGAGGAGGAGGAGGAGGAGGAGGAGGAGGAGGAGGAGGAGGAGGGGGGGGAGGAGGGGGAGGAGGAGGAGGAGGAGGGGGAGGGGAGGAGGAGGAGGAGGAGGAGGAGGAGGAGGAGAGGAGGAGGGGGAGGAGGAGGAGGAGGAGGAGGAGGAAGAGGAGGAGGAGGAGGAGGAGGAGGAGGAGGAGGAAGCGGCGTGCGAAACAGAAAGGGTGCCGCGCCCCCTGCGGGAGCCCGCGGCGCCGAGGCGAGGGCGGCGTTTCTGCATCTGGCGCGGCGCGTGCGCCCTGCCCCGTTCTCGGCGCGCACATTGCAGCGTGGACGACAGAATGCTCCTCCTCCTCCTCCTCCTTCGCCTCCTCCTCCTCCTCCTCCTCCTCCTCCTCCGCCTTCTTCCTCCTCCTCCTCCTCCTCCTCCTGTCCTTTATTTGCAAGGTCGGGTGGGGGGTCCCGGATCTGGCGACTGTCGCCCCCCTGGGTGGCAGCGTCGGAGCAAGCACTGGCGGAGAAGGGGGACCGGGTGGAGGAGAATGACCGACGGGACCTGGTCCACGGGGCCAGCTGGGGCGGCAACGACTGCGGCCGTGGCTCTCGGGGCCCCCACACCGACGACGACCGTCGGGGCACACGACGGAGCGGCCGAGCGTGCCGTTGATGAGAGGGAGCGGGGGGCGACTCGCCCTCCTCTTCGTCGTCCTCCTGGGCATCCTTGCGCCTCCCTTGCTCGCGCGCATCGTGCCCATCAGGAGGCCACGCTCCAGTGCAAGAGAAAAGCGAGCGGCATGGCCATAGACTTGCGGAGGTCTGCGCGAATATCTGCTGTCGGCGCTGGACTCCCCTTCCCTTGCGCGCGGGGCGTGTCGGGGGCGGCGTCCGCAGGGGGGTCCAACGCCGACACAAGAGATCCGTGTGGACCCCCGAGCATGGATGTTTATGGGATTGTTGTTTGGGACTCCCACCCCCCTCCAACAACTCCACTTGCCGTTGTCGCACTCCACGGCCATCGCCAACACATTGAGACAGATGACCTGTCGGGGACCCGGAGCCGTCACGGGAAGGGGTCTGCCGCTGCGATCGTCTTCAAGCCGTCCTCCATCATTGCCCCCCTCGTCGTCTTCCACTCGACCACTCTTTATCCGCATCGTCGCCCTCCTCATCCTTCGCCCTTTCCTTCTCCCAGCTCTTCTCTCCTTTTGCCTCCCATTCACCCGTTCTCCCCTTTCTTTCTCTCCCTGTCCATGCCATGCCCCTCCCGCTCTCTTTCCCTCCCCCCCTGCTCTCCCCTCCCACTTCCACAATCGTGGGGCCCCTCCTCCTGCACTCTGTGACGACGGCGGAAGCCTCTGGAGGCCTCCAGACGAGCCAACAACTTCCAAAACTAAAAGAGCACCACGGCGACGGCCATGACGGCGGCGGCGGCGACGAAAACGATGGCGGAAATGACGGCGGCGGCAACGAGGATGGCGGCGGCGACGACGACGGTGGCGGCGGCGGCGGCGGCGACGACGACGACGACGGGCGCCGGCCCCGTGCGGCTCAGGGTGCGGAAAGGGCCGTCTGCACCACACACGACCAGTAGCCCGACTCCACCAGGGTCGCCACGAGATACCTCTTGGGGTCCTGTCGGGGCGCAGGGGGGCCACGGGGAGATGACGCGAGGATCGAGGATGTCGAGCGGGATCGAGGTTCCAGGTATCAAGGAAGCGAGGAGGGAGGGGCATAATCGAAGGTCAAGATCCTCGAACGTCTTTGGCCCTGCTTGGGGGCCTCCGGAGGCCTCCTCCTCCTCCTCCTCTTCCTCCTCCTCCTTTTCCTCCTCCTCCTCCTCCTCCTCCTCCTCCTCATCCTTCCCCCGGGACTTCTACGATATATGACCACGAATTCCGCACGGCAGAGCTCGCCCACATGCCATTCCAGGAGATATCCCTGGCAGGCCAGCCCAGAGACTTCTCGGGACCTCCGTGCTGAGGCCGCCAGAGAGAGGAGGTTTTTGTCTCTCCCGCCCCGTCGCGGCTCCCCGCCGCGCGGCGCGCGCCGCGCACGGGGCCAACCGCTCTGGGGGCCGCGCCCCTGAGGGCCGCCCTCCTCTCCACGCGCGTCTTGCGGAGGCGCGTGGAGCAAGGTGGCCGAGCGTGTCCTCTGTGGCGTCCGCGCTCCACCTCCGAGATCCTCAGCACCCCGCGAGGCGCCCTCGGGGAAGCCGCCCCGAGCGCCCCTCGCGACATGCCTTCCAAGGAGGGTGGCAGTACCTGGCCCATCCAGTCCAGCGCAGCCGTGCGAGTCGCGGTGGTGCTGGGCGGCGTGGTGCTGCTGGGTGGGCTGCTGGTCCCCGTCGTGCTGTGCGTCGTCGAGCTGTCGACTGTCAGCAGCTGCTCGAAGATGCTCTTCGGCACCTTCTGCTTGCCCTCGTTCTGGATGGCTTCGATCTCGGCCTCGGCGCTGACGACTGCGTCCGCGCTCTCCTGCAACTTCTCGCGGGCCTTGGCTGCCTTCGCCTCGGCCAGCATCTGCAGCTCGAACGCCCAGTTGTAGGTGCGGGTCGCGGAGTCGAGCGCCTTCGCTGCCTCTGCCAAGCGCACCGCCTTGGACTTGGGCGGCTTCTTCTTCTCGGGGCGTTGAGCGCGTCGGCCACACCCGTCATCTGCTTCGCGATGTCGTCGCCGTTGGCCTGCTTCAGCGTACCGATGGACTCTGTCACAGTCCGCAGTGCTGCGGCGAGCTTGGCGACGCCCTGCTCGGTGGAGGAGGCGTCGTTGTCTTGCGAGCGCCCTCGACTTCCAGCTGTTGGGCTCGCGCCTCCACTGTTGCCGACGGGCGCGCGCCGCGCACGGGGCCATCCGCTCTAGGGGGCCGCGCCCCTGAGGGCCGCCCCCTTCTCCACGCGCGTCTTGCGGAGGCGCGTGGAGCAAGGCGGCCGAGAGCGTCCTCTGTGGCGTCCGCGCTCCACCTCCGAGATCCTCAGCACCCCGCGAGGCGCCCTCGGGGAGGTCGCCCCGAACGCCCCTCGCGGCATGCCTTCCAAGGAAGGTGGCAGTACTAGGCCCCTCCAGTCCAGCGCGGCCGTGGGCGTCGCGGTGGTGCTGGGCGGCGTGGTGCTGCTGGTCCTCTTTGTCGTGCTGGTCTCGGTGGTGCTCGGTGGCGTGGTGCTGCTGGGCGTATTGCTGCTGGTCGCCGTCGTGCTGTTCTTCGATCGGTCGGCTGGCAGCGTAGAGGAGCCTGCGGACCCATTGCCTGCGGCGTTCCTCGTCGATGCTCGTTACAGTCGCTTCGGCTGTCGAGGGTCGATGAGGTTGTTGCACACCGGCTTGCTGCTCGTCGTATTGGCGTGGTTGCTGCTCGATCTGCTTGTCCTGGTGGTGGTCGGGCTGCTGTGGAGCGGTCGGGGAGCGCGGGCGAGGGCCTTCAAATGCATCTCCTCGCTGACGTCCCTTGACCGCCCCTTCTGGTGGACGCGGGGAGTACTCGTCCTCCCCCTCCACACCGTTGCAGTAAAAGGCTTGCGTCCTTGGCGGTGGAGTCTGTGGGGGTTCGGGTTAGTTGGTCTGCGTCAAGTGTAGACGGGGTCGGTCCCTTCCAGGTCCAGGAATGTGGTGAGGCAGCGTCCAGGCCAAGGGCGACGAATGGCTTGGGCGAATTGGCGTAGTGCTGCCCGTAGCGCGGTGGGGGCCAGGCCGTGGAAGGCGACGCCGTACTTCGCGGAGGCCATCGCGCCCTGGTTCACCAGGCTGGCCTTGGTGGAGATGCGGAGCCGTCGAAGTTTGCCACGGACTGCGCGTAGGCGTCGGCGTGCTGCTGCCCATCTTGTCGCGTGCGTGGAGCGTCTGGTAGTACCGCGTGCTGCACGATCTGCGCCCAGGTCTCGCCCTTCTGTGGCTGCTTGGACGACGATGTGGAGGTGGCGGAGCTGCTGCTGGATCTTCTTGGTGTCTTAGGAGGGGATGTGTACGGAGAGGAGAGAAGGAAAGGGAGAGGAAGAAGGATGAGGAGGACAGGGAGGAGGAGGAGGAGCTCTCGGCCAAACGCCTCGGCCAGGACGAGCCTGGGCTTTTGACAACACCCGAATACTAGAACGCCGCTTCCGAACGGAGGGACCAGACGGAAGGAAAAATCGGGCCCAGAACGAGTCTTGGAGAAGGGAGGGGGGTAAGGCGATGACGGGATGGAGGGAGGGGGGAGATGAGGATGACGACTGAGGGGGCGGGAGAAGGGAGGACAACATGTGTGGGAGTACGGAGCGGGACAATGGAGGGCGGAGGAAAGATGATAGCTATGACCGGCAGGGGGAACCTGCTGTGTTGTTCGGCGGTTCTTCTGAGCTCCTCGATGGCCTCTAGGGGTCGACGGAGGCCCGAACTTGGGAAGGTCTCTCTGGAGGTGCTCTTTCCCAAAGCGTCCTGTGTTGAGTGGGATCCCCGCCTGAATCCGCAGCGCCCTCCTTCCTTCTTTGCCCTCCTCCTCCTCCTCCTCCTCCTCCTCCTCCTCCTCCTCCTCCTCCTCCCCCCCATCCTCCTCCTCATCCCTCCCTCCTCTCATCCTCCTCCTCCTCCTCCTCCTCCTCCTTCCTCCCCCCCGTCCTCCCCGTCCTCCTCTCCTCCTCCTCCTCCTCCTCCCTCCTCCCCTCCTCCTCCCTCCTCTCCTCCTCCTCCTCCTCCTCCTCCTCTCCTCCCTCTCCTCCTCCTCCTCCAACTCCTCCTCTCCTCCTTCCCTCTCCTCCTCCTCCTCGTCCTCCTCCTCCTCCTCCTCCTCCTCCTCCTCCTCCTCCTGCTCCTCCCCGTCCTCCTCCTCGGCATCCTCGTCCGCATCCGCCGTGGGCTGCACCCAATCGAGAAACGTGGTGACGCTGTCTTCCAGGGTCCTATTGCCCCTGGGCTGGCCTGCCAGGGGTAGCTCCTGGAATGGCATGTGGGCGAGTTCTGCCGTGCGGAATTCATGATCATATGTCGTAGAAGTCATGATGATGATGATGATGATGATGATGATGATGATGATGATGATGATGATGATGATGATGATGATGATGATGCTGATGATGATGATGATGATGATGATGATGATGATGATGATGATGATGATGATGATGATGATGATGATGATTGTGATGTGATGATGATGATGATGATGATGATGATATGATGATGAGGAGGAGGAGGAGGAGGAGGAGGAGACGAGGAGGAAAAAGGAGGAGGAGGAGGACGCGAAAGAAAGGAGGAGAGGAGGGGGAGTGAGGAGGAGGAGGAGGGGAGGAGGAGGAGGAGGAAGGAGGGAGGAGGAGGAGGGAGGAGGAGGAAAAGGAGGAGGAGGAGGAGGAGGGAGGAAGGAGGAGGGCGGAGGAGGAGGGAGGAGGAGGAGTGAGGAGGAGGAGGAGGTGGAGGAGGAGGAGGAGGGAGGGAGGAGGAGAGGAGGAGAGGAGGAGGAGGAGGAGGGGAGGAGGAGGAGGAGGAGGGGAGGAGGAGGAGGAGGAGGAGGAGGAGGAGGAGGAGGACGCCATGGCGAGCGGGGCCGAGAGGCGGGACAGAACGGCTGCCGCCACCGCATAACGCCGATCACGAGCTCGCTGTCTGGGCGTGCCAGAAATCCCGTCCGTCGTTAAAGACCACGGGATGTTCGGCGAGGAAGCGGCCGCCCTCGCGCGGCAGCGCACGCCCGTGGGAACGCGGCGCGATCCGCTGCCATCCGGCAGCTTTACCGGAGCGTGGGAAGCGTACTGCAGCGGCACGCCGCGGACGCGATCCTCTCGGCCACGCAAGTGCGGCCGTGGCGAGCTGCCGCCGCGCTCGCGCCGGCGCAGCACGGGGCCGCCGCGCCGCCGCCCAGAGGGGCTGGAGCGCCGCAGCCGGGCGCAGCCCCAGGCTGTGGCCGCGCGCGCGCGCGCCGCCGCCAAGCGCCAGCCACTAGGGCAAGGCCGCAGACGGGTGCAGTGTGCCGAGCCGCTGGGGCAGGGAGGGCGCGGGGCGCCGCCGCTGCTTCTGCGAACTAGACCCGCGCGACGCTGGCGACGGAGCAGGGCGCGCTGGAAACTGGAAGGAGGCGCGTTCCGGCTCTGGCGCTGCGCAGCCCGCAGAGCGGGCGCAGCGGCGGCGGCGGCGGCGAGCCCGTGGCGCTGGCGGCGGGCGGGGCGAACGCGGCGGCGGCGGGCGTGCGGCGGCGGCGGCGGCGGCGCGGCGCTCTCCTCGCGGGCTGCTACGGGGTCCGGCTGGTCCACTACCTATATGGGTGCGTTCAACCTCCCACCTATGGCAGTCTGAGGTCCCCGGCCGGCGCACCCCTTCCTCCTCGGGGGTGGCCCGCCGTGAGCGGTGGGTCACGCCCGGGTTTGGGGGTTAGCGCCGGCTCCCTCCCGACCAGCGAGCACCCGCAGCAAAGGGACCCGCGCAGCGATCGGAGGAGGAAAAGGAGCAGGAGGAAAAGGAGGAGGAGGAGGAGGAGGAGGAGGAGGAGGAGGAGGAGGAGGAGGAGGAGGAGGAGGAAGAGGAGGAGGAGGAGGAGGAGGAGGAGGAGGAGGAGGAGGAGGAGGGGGAGATGGAAAAAGTAGGAGGAGGAGGAGGAGGAGGAGGAGGAGGAGGAGGAGGAGGAGGAGGAGGAGGGAAGGAGGAGGAGGAGGAGGAGGAGGAGGCGGAGGAGGAGGAGGAGGAGGAGGAGGAGGACGAGGAGGAGGAGGAGGAGGAGGGGGAGGAGCAGGAGGGAGGAGGAGGAGGAGGAGGAGGAGGAGGAGGAGGAGGAGGAGGAGGAGGAGGAGGAGGAGGGAGACGAGGAGGAGGAGGAGGAGGAGGAGGAGGAGGAGGAGGATGAGGACGAGGAGGAGGGAGGAGGAGGAGGAGGAGGAGGAGGAGGAGGAGGAGGAGGAGGAGGAGGAGGAGGAGGAGGAGAGGGAGAGGAGGAGGAGGAGGAGGAGGGAGGAGGAGGAGGAGGAGGAGGAGGAGGAGGAGGGGAGGAGGAGGAGGAGGAGGAGGAGGAGGAGGAGGAGGAGGGGAGAGGGAAAAAAAAGGAGGGAGGAGGAGGAGGAGGAGGGAAAGGAGGAGGAGGAGAGGGAGGAGGAGGAGGAGGAGGAAGGAGGAGGAGGAGGAGGAGGAGGAGGAGGAGGAGAGGAGGAGGAGGAGGAGGAGGGGGGAGGGTGGAGGGGGAGGGGGAGGAGGGAGGAGAGGAGGAGGAGGAGAGAGGGCGGTGGAGGAGGACGAGGAGGAGGAGGAGGAGAGGAAGAGGAGGAGGGGGAGGAGGAGGAAGAGGAAGGGAAGAGGAGGAGGAGGAAGGAGGAGGAGGAGGCGGAGGAGGAGGGATGAGGAGGGGAGGATGAGGAGGAGGAGCTCCTCCTCCTCCTCCTCTTCCTCCTCTTCCTCCGCCTCCTCCTCCTCCTCCTCCTCCTCTTCCTCCTCTTCCTCCGCCTCCTCCTCCTCCTCCGCCTCCTCTTCCTCCTCCTCCTCCTTTTCCTCCTCCTCCTCCCGGCGCTCTCCACCGAGCGATCCTCCTGCTCGCGCGCGAGCTCCAGCTCCGCCTGCAGCCTCGAGGACGTGCGCCCGTGCAGCGTCAGTGACCCCGAGTACGCGAGGCGCGGCTTGTCGGCCTGGGCGGGCGCGGGCTCGAGGGCCCCCCGGCCCTCCGAAGCTGTCCCGTCGGTCGGGAAGTGTGGGTGCAGTCGGGGCGGACTGGAGAGGACGCGCGAGAGGACACGAGACCCTCCCGAGGGCCACACTGCCACGTGAACGCAGGAGCCGTGGGCCGCGAGACTCCGGGCACGAGGGCGCCCTTGATCTGGCGGGGTCGACCTGCTCATCGGGGCCGACTGCAGACGCATGGAGTAGGAGGCATTGCAAGTAGACTGCGTGTCCGCCCGCCCCCTCAAGAGGAAGGCAGAGTCGGGTCGGGCGAAACGGGGGGGATAGCAAAGGGGGGGTTTGAGAACCAGCTCACGTAGCTGATTTTCCCGGCGCCTCCCGGCGCCGGAGGCGGCTATGTATCAAGGAATGGGCCCCTCGGTGAGGCCGAAACCAGCTGCATGCAGCAAATTTCGTACCCCCCCCTTTCCCAATCCCCCCCTTTCGCCCGGCCCGACAGAGGGGAACACGCTCCATGATTGAAGCAGCAAGGCGCCCAACATAGATAATTAGCAACCTGGGCATCCACCAATACCTCTACTCAACGACTGGTGGGCACGGTGTCTGCGACTTTCCCCCCCAAAAAATCGGGCTTCGCTCGAACCCTCCCCAAAATAGACATGAGACAACGCAACCGGCTACGGCAGGTTCGTGTCGTGACGACCCCAGCGTTGGTTTTTCTGACACTGCGTGGATCGTTCAACCTTGAACGATCGGCGGCTTTTCGACCGCCCGATCGTTCTATGTGGGCATCTGGGCCACTGGTGGCGTTCAACCTTGAACGCCCGCGACGGGGTCGCCGCCAGTCGACACGACGCGAACCTACCGTACACGCAAGAGTGACCCTGGGCAAGAGTGACCTCGGGTGCGCGGCTCTTGGGGGGCCACGGGGGGACCAAACACAGGCGCGCGAGACGCTACTATCGCCTCGCGTTCGGCGATCGGGGGACATTGGGCCTGCACCAAAGGTCACTCCGGCGAAAGGTCACTCTTACGTGTAAACGACGCAACCACATGCGGGGCCGGGCCAGCCCCAGACCGCCCGGTCCGGCAGCCGCTGCGCCGGAGGCTCCCCCCGACGCCCTCAGGAGACGTTCTCTCGCAGCAATGCCGGCAGCGCTTGTGGCCAGGACGGCCACAATCCCAAGTAGAAAGACACTAAGGTGCATCGGTTTCCTGCTGACCCGGGTCAATCCAGACCCGGGTCAGCAGGAAACCAACAACTGCAATGCAGGAAAAAATATCCCAGTGCGACCCGACCTAGGAGTTGGAGCCCCTAGGAAAGCAGCATTAGTAGTAACAGTAAAGCTAAGCTAAAGCTAGGCTAAAGCTAAGCTAAAGCTAAGCTAAAGCTAAGCTAAAGCTAAAGCTAAGCTGAAGCTAAGCTGAAGCTAAGCTAAAGCTAAGCTAAAGCTAAGCTAAGGCTAAGCTAACACTAAGCTAACGCTAAGCTAAAACTAAGCTAAAGCTAAGCTAAAGCTAAGCTAACGCTAAGCTAAAGCGAAAGCTAAGCGAAAGCTAAGCTAAAGCTAAGCTAAAGCTAAGCTAAGGCTAAGCTAAACCTAAGCTAAAGCTAAGCTGAAGCTAAGCTGAAGCTAAGCTGAAGCTAAGCTGAAGCTAAGCTGAAGCTAAGCTGAAGCTAAGCTGAAGCTAAGCTAAAGCTAAGCTAAAGCTAAGCTAAAGCTAAGCTAAAGCTAAGCTGAGCTAAAGCTAAGCTAAACTACGCTGAAGCTAAGCTAAAGCTAAGCTAAAGCTAAGCTAAAGCTAAGCTAAAGCTAAGTTAAAGCTAAGCTAAAGCTAAACTAACACTAATCTAACACTAAGCTGAAGCTAAGCTGAAGCTAAGCTGAAGCTAAGCTGAAGCTAAGCTAAAGCTAAGCTAACACTAAGCTAAAGCTAAGCTAAAGCTAAGCTAAAGCTAAGCTAAAGCTAAGCTAAAGCTAAGCTAAAGCTAAGCTAAGGCTAAGCTAAAGCTAAGCTGAAGCTAAGCTAAAGCTAAGCTGAAACTAAGCTAAAGCTAAGCTAAAGCTAAGCTAAAGCTAAGCTAAAGCTAAACTAGCACTAAGCTGAAGCTAAGCTAAAGCTAAGCTAAAGCTAAGCTAACACTAAGCTAAGGCTAAGCTAAAGCTAAGCTAAAACTAAAGCTAAAGCTAAAGCTAAGCTAAAGCTAAAGCTAAGGCTAAAGCTCCCAGGGGACTGTGGGAACCGCGGGGCGGGGACTGGGGGAACCGACCGGGGCGGTTAGCACTGCCCGGCCCTTTAAGCAAAGAGAGTAAGAACCCTTCTAGGCAGAGCCTAGGTAGGGAACAACTGCAACGCAGGTCTTCGCAAACCCGGGTCAGCCAATATGCGCGGCCGCCTCGCGGCCACGAGCGGCTCGCAAACCCGGGTCAGCCAGAGGGGGTTTTCGCAAGATCCTGCAGGATCTGGTGCCCTGGCTGACCCCCGTTTGCATTGACCCCCGTCTCAAGGCTCCCGAATGCACATGGCCGTGGTTTCACGCCTGTCCCGGCTTCAGCTTCGACGCCTAGCCGACCGCCTACTCCTCGGCACGCCTCCTCACCTTTGCTGCCATGAGGGTGCTTTGCTGGGGTAAGTCGTGTACCCAACTTATTGACGCCAATTCAGTTCATTGTCGTAGCCGTTTTCTTCGCAAACTAACTTGTACAACGCCCTCAATAACCAAACTTCGGGACGCCGCCTTGCTGAGTGACTGGTTGTGGGGAGGGCCCTTCAGTTTCAGTCTCAGTTCCTCCTGTTGTCGAGAGAATTCGTTTTTCAGCTGTGGCGTTTTTCCTCCTTTTCGGCCCCCACGGGGCAGATGCCGCCGATGGCGAGACTTTTGTTTGATGCGCTGTGGGGGCAGGGCTGGTCCAAACTTGTGCTCGCAGATTTCGAATGGCTTCGCAACTCGCTCAGCGACGAATCCACAAACATGCAGGACTGGACTGACCATTCATTCATTGACGTAGCGAGAAGCAGGAGGAACGAGTTCCTTAAGCGTGTTGGCAAGGCCGCTTAGATCACCAGGAAGAATTGGGCATTGCTGTATGATGTGGCACTTTGGCGCAAGGCGTTAAGAAGGGGTCTCCAGGTGCAACAGGCTGGCCAAAATATGTTAACTGCTTTCTGGGGAGAGCCTGGGCCTGTGGGTTACGGGGAGTAGCGCCTCGGTGGGCACTGTTTCTGATTGCCTCAATCCTGCGGCTCCGCCTGATCCGCCGACCCCAGTTCGCTTCGTCCGTTTGTTGCGAGTGTGGCCATTGCTCTGTCAGCGCGCGTGCACTCAAATTACGGCGCACACGACCGAGGTGCGCAACTCTGGTTGCTATCCAGCGAACTAATTGACGGGTACGATGTGCTGTACATGTTGCGTGCAAATCTGGGACGGAGTCATCACTGCACTGACCTTGCAGACGTGCTGCAGCGGATGTTTGCGTGGATGTCTGCCAATGCAGAGCCCCGAAACGGCGAGTGACAACGACGTGAATTTCGCGTGGGTTTGGTTTTGTCTTCATTCCTGACCAAAAAGCCCGCACGAAAGTCACCTCGAAATCCGGAACGAAATTCTCTAGGGCTCTCCAGGCCCATCCGATTGTAATCCGAACGAAATCCGCTCTGCGATGCTGGGGCCATGGGGAGTCAGGCCGCCCAAGCACGTGCACAGAGCCCAGCCATGCAAAGATGCCTGGCATAATGGAAGATGGCGATTAATAAATGACCGGGGGTCGTATTCACGCGGCGGCGCCCGGGATGACGATTAGAAAAAAACCGGCCGCGGGCTGGAAAACTACGTTTTTTAATCGTTCTCCTCCAGTCAGAAACTTGTGCAGAAATAGCAGAAAACTATTGTTTTAATCGTTCTCTCCCATTTGTTTTATTACTCGTCATCCCGCATTACTGCTTGTCTCAGACCGCCTGGCGAGGAGCTCGTGCCAACCGCTTGTGGCAGAAAGCCCCAGGCCAACAGACGTAGAAAGGGGGGCACATCAGAACAGCTTGCTTTGGTGCCTGCCCAGAGGGTGCCCAGGCCCCCGTTGGGGACTGGGACCTGAATAAACAAAGAAGACAAAGTCGCCCCCCCCCCCCCCCCCGACGGCCCCTGTGTTTGAGCTGGTTTCTTCTGTGGGAGTACTTCTGAGGCCTGGCGGCGGGCGTCGGGAAGGCCATACTCCTGGTGGCGGGATGGTTCTGGTCCTCGGGCCGTTTGAAAGGAGCACGTGGGACATGCAGCAATGCATGGCGACGGCCTCAGAAGAAGGAAGATGTGAGGTGCGTGGTGTCTAGGCCGCGTTGACCATGGAACCATCGACTCTGGTCGCTTGGCTGGGTTGGATCAGAGCTGGATGGATTCGAGGGGGCTCCCCGACCTTTGCACTTTCCGGGGACCACGCGCAAGCAAGAAGAGACAATCCCCTGTTCGACCGTTGGGGGAACTGGCTCTGGGTGACACGATGCGTGCCACGGCTCGAATGGAAAACGCAGGCGTGCAAAATGCCGCTTCCCGTCTCCATGACTGCCCGAGGAATGTGACTCCCTGTCTTTGGTTGCTGGCTGATGCCAGCGATGAATGGAGACGTTGAGTTGAGCCAGCTTCCTGGGTCATGCGCCCCCCCAAAGGAGTCTCAAGCGCACCATTCCAGGCTGGTCACGTGTGTCGTCGGATCCCCAAGCTTGCTTCCCTCGCAGATGTTCGCCGTGCAGCTGTGAGGGATCCAGGAGTTCAGGCCTGTGAAGGGGACAAGCGGTAGGCGCGTGCACACCTGCAGGCATACGCAGTCCGTCAGGGGATGGAGCCGCGGCGCCGAGGCGCCTGCTGATATCTGGCGCTACGCGCACGTCGGAGAACGTGAACGTTTCTGTCAACAACGTTGGGCCTGTGGGAGAAAAAACACACTGTGGGAAAACAAACACACACACACACACACACACACACACACACACACACACACACACACACACACACACACACACACAAACAGACACACAGACACACAGACACACAGACACACAGACACACAGACACACAGACACACAGACACACAGACACACACACACACACACACACTGTGGGGAAAAAACACACAGACTGTTTTTTGTGTGTTTCCCAAAGACACACACACAGACTGTGTGTGTATGTTTTCCCTGTGTTTTTTGTTTTTTTTCCCGCAGACTGTGTTTTTGTTGCCACAGTGTGTGTGTGTTTTTTCCCCACGTGTGTGTATATATTTTTCCCACGGGGTGCTGCCCCGTGAGCTCGGGGAGAAGCCGTCGCCACCGCTGCCTCTGCGCGTGCGTGGGGGCTCGCTGTGCCGTGCTTGCCTTTTTCTCTTGTTCCCAGTAGGGCAGGCTTCGAACCTAGCAGTCTTCAGGTTAGCGATCGAGCGAACGAGGAGGAGGAGGAGGAGGAGGAGGAGGAGGAGAAAGAGGAGGACATGAGAGCAGGTGAACGCAGGAGGACGACGAGGACGAGGAGCATCCTGGCCGGCTTTACGAGCTGCGCCCAGCCGTGGCCACGATGCCCCTCCGATGCCCAAACGGAGGGCCAACGAACTGCATGCAGGGGCATCTCTGTCGCCGCCGGTGGCACAACCTTACTGCATGTTCATCTCTCGGGAGCGGCCAAGACGGGGGTGTCCAAGAGGGGGGGGTGCAAATCATGACCGGCGGCATGTGCGCGGCCCAGCGGGGGGCCAGGGACGTAATGAAACAAGAAGAGGCGCCATGAAATCTGGGGAAATATCATGGCCCCCGCCATGATATCCACCCCCCCCTAGTCCTTACCCCCCTCTCTTTTCCGCCCCCGAATCTCTGGCACGAAAGAAAAAGTCATGAGAGAAACGGGCACTGGAGCCTGGCCACCCCCTGGGGCCAGCAGCTCATTCCGATTCGACGGCGAGCGAAATGTGCGTTCCGGGAGGTCTTCCACAAGTTTTGTTGGGGGGAGGCCGCTCCGTCGCTCGTTCGAGGGCAACGCGTCGCGCCAACTCGCAGGCCACAATCCCTTCGGATCGGGTCTGCCAATGGGGCGGGAGGAAAGCGGGCGCAGCACTGGCAGATCTCATCCTCTTCGTGCTCCCCCTCCTCATCCTCCTCCTCTTCCGCTGCCGCCTCCCCCTGCTTTTCCTTTTTTCCTCTTTCACTCCCATCCTGCCATACACGCTCCCCCTGGGCGACCCTATGAAAAAGACGCTTGATGAACAAATATTTCACCCCCTCTTGCCGGAATCATTTTGTCAACGGCCCTGGTGCCCGGGAGAAGGCCCCGGGATCCTGCAAGCGGCGGAAAGCTCGGAACCTGTTTCCCTCGAGACCGTCCGCTTCATTGCTACGTCTCTCCCCCGATCAGTAGAAGACTGAGTGTCGTTTAACCGATCCCCATCCCCACCAGCGTGGGCTGGGCCCCACTGGCCGATTCATCCCCCTAGATAGGGATACAGGCAGTTCCCTTCGGGTTTCGAGGGGCGTATCCCCAACTGTGGGGGGGTAATATGGTGGGGGTCTCGAAAAGGATGGGCATGGGATGGGGGGTCGGTTAAACGATACTGAGAGGCCGAAGCACGGCACAACCGTGAACGGTCAGCGGCCCGCGGGGGCTTCTTGGACCTCGGCGCTGGGCGCCCGGGGCGGCACCCCCGGGGGCGGCGCCGGAGGCGCCGCGAGGGGAGCCCAGCACGGCTCCCAGAAAACCGCCCGGACCTCTAAAGTTCATGTCTGGGCAGAATCCAGCAAGCTGAAGCGAGCGCGGGGCCACTCCACGTTAACGCAAAGTTGGGCATGTCCCCCTACAGGGGGATTTTGGACGAAAGATGTAAAACAGTCAAAGACTACTCCGAACATGCAAAAAAATGTCCAAACATCGTCCCGGGACTATTTTTGACTATTTGTGAATGTTCCTCCTGTAGAGGGACAGGCCCGACTCAAAGCGAGTGTGGGGCCATTCCACGTTAACGCAGTCAAGCAAGCTTGAGATCTTTGACGCATGCACTCCTGATAACCAGTTGTACTGCCTGCGTATGGGAGTCCCGAACCAGGCGGAAGCGAAGAAGCTCATCGCCTTCCACGTGCGACGCTTGAGGCAAGTGCTCCGCATACGACATTCATGCGTTAGGCACGTTGTAAATTCATAGGCTCTGCATCAAGCAGACGCCATCCCACTGAGCAGTACCTTCCTGAATCGTCAACTGTTGCTCCTGGGGCATATCGCGCGGACGCCAGCTGACGACCCAGTCAGGATCACTGCCCTGCGCCCCTTTTCAGGTGAGGTGGCCTCATGGAGCTTCAAGTGGAAGCGGGGGCAGGCCAAGAACACTTGCACCGAAACCGTCTTTGCCCACGCTGTCCTGGCTGGGGCGGGCTGAGGAGGCCCTGCCGGGGCTCCGGCAAGACAGCGCAATTTCTTCTGCAACCTATCGCGCAGCCGTGAAGTGGTCCTGCGACTCCCTGTGGGGCCATGGCATGTATGCTCACTTGCTTTGCACTCAGCTTTCTCTCTCTCTCTCTCTCTATCTCTCTCTCTCCCTCGCTCTCTCTGTTGCTTCTTCCTCGAACGAATCAGACGAGAAGGCATATTTTTGTTCCTCCCCGCGGGGTGGAGCTCCCGCGAGCGGGCGCTCGAAAAGCCGAAAAACAGCCTCGGCGAACAACGCCATTGGGCGAGGGGTGGGCCCCGCACACTGCTGGTGCGGCGCCCGGCGGCGGGCTGGCGGCGGGGCAGGCTGCGCGGCGAGACGCTGCAGGAATTGTCCGAGGCCTCCTAATTATGGGGTCCGCGTAGGCGGGGTCGGAGGATCGCGCCGCATCGCCGATGTGGCGCATCGGCGACGCCGACGAAGCATCGGCTCCTCCGGCGTGGAGAGACGGGGTCCACATCGAGACGCATCGGCGATGCATGGCCGAAGCATGGGCGATGCATCGGCGATGCGGCGTGATCCTCCGAACCCATCGACCACATCTGGGAGGCTTGGAATTGTGCCTGGGGGCACGTTCTCAATAACAAGTTCCAAAGTGGGGACACTGAGGAGAGGCAGAGGATTAGGCGGGGGAGGTGTGGAGAGGACCACGCAAGACGATACAGCTTGACGAGCCTGTGGCCCGATGTCTTGGCAGATGGGAGGCCGCGATGGAGCGGACATGGAGCATAACTGTTTATAGATAGCAGGGCTGATGCAGAGGAGGAAAATAATATAAGACAAATAATGATGATAAGAAGAGGGATATTAATAAAAACAAGAAAGAGGAAGAGGAAGAGGAGGAGGAGGAGGAGGAGGAGGAGGGCGAGGTGGGAGGGACGTCGGAAGAGTGGAGGGATGCGAGCTGGAGGCCCGGCATGATCACAGTCAGCAAGCACCCACACAGCCCTCATTCCCTAAGGGGCCTGGTTGGTCGACGGAGTGGCTATAATTCCCGACGCCGCCTTAGTGCCCCTACTGCCCCTGCACAGTATTTCGTTCCCTCTCACTCCTCATCTCATTCGTTCAGGCTCTCATCTGCGAATTTGGATCACCTCCATCACCCCCTCTCTGACTAGGTGAGCGCATACTCTTGGCTTTAGCAGGCCTCTAGGTTTGGTTTGTCCTTCCTTGCCTGACTCTTTCCCTGCTGCGCCCAACCAGGTCTAACGTGTAGGCCTCTGCGCCTACGTAGGTTGTGCTATTTGCATCGGAAACCTGGTCAGGACGAAAGGCCGGCCCCAGGGGAAGGGTCGGGAGGTCCGGGGTCTGGATGGGGGGGCATCGCTAGGAGGGGGCTCGGATGGGGGGGGGGCATGCCACCATCGGTGATGCATCGCCGACAGATCGCCGATGGGGCGCCCGAGAGCGAATCCGCGCGTTCCTGGGCGGGGCGGGCTATCGAGCTCCTATCGGCAACGAGTGGGCGATTGGGGGTCCACCCCTCTCCGAGCCCATCTCCCCCTGACTGGCGTTGCCCTGGACCCGAGACTCGAAAACAACGAGCCTCTGGAGGTCTGGGAAGCCACCGCGCTGGCTGTCAGCAGGCCCCGGTGGCCCAGGGTGAAGTCGGGCGTGTCCCCCTTCAGGGGGAACTTGGGCGAAAAATAAGCAATATCCCAAAAACATGATCAAACATCGCCAAACATGCTTGAGAACAAATCGTCCCCAAACTATGCTTTGACTACTTTTGACTCTTCCTCCGGTAGAGGGACTCGCCCGACGTAATCCTATACGGGGCGGTTCGAACTCTCAGGGCGGGCCCCCCGCGCGCGAGACGCTCAGCCACAGCGCGGCCATCGCCAGCCACCGCGCCGCCCTCCTCGCGGCCAGGTTCGCGGGGAGGGCGGCGCCGCTGGCGTCGGCGCGGTTCTCGTCGCCCGCAGACGTAGACGTGTCGGCGTCCATCATGGACGTGCCGGCGGCGCTCGCGATCGCAGAGGCCGTGGTGCTGTCAGGCTCCGTGGTGAGGGCGCCATCCTCTGGTGGGGGGACCATGTCTTGGGGGTGGAGGAGGAGGTCGGTCATCGCAGCGACGAGCCGGAGCGATATTCGGAGGTTGATCCACGCGATGCGGGGCATGACAAGAGGCAGGAGCAGAAACACGGGCAGGCATCCGCCAGATCCCTCTGCGGGGCCATCAAGCTGCGAGGACTGGGTTGCAGCATCAGCTTACTTAGTCCTCACCAGCGCAATTGGGGCAACTCGCAACACTGCCATCCTGGCAGGAACTCGATACCTTGTCAACCGTGATCTGCTACTCGCAAGTTCTCCGAGCACAGCCTTGCTCAGCTTCTCGGGAAATGGAATTCCGATCTCCGCGGCCTCCACACCTACTGCATCAGAAATGACAAATGATGGGTGCCCTGGAGTGCGTCAAAATACAGCGGGCCCACGTTCCCGAGGGAACGATCCCTGTTTAAGCAAACTTCGAGTCGCGGTATGGGTGCGTCTTCATCCTCTGAATTCCCGGCAGAAGCCGAGGGCCAGCGCTCGTGGTGGGTCCGACCTTCGAGCTCGCTGGCCACCAAGCCAGATGAATGACCAGCCAGCAAGCCTGCGAGCCATTTCATCAACAAACCAGCGGACCTGCAAACTGAACAACCAGCCAGCCGAGTTGCCAGCCTGCCAGCCAATCAGCTAATCAAGAAAACAAGCCAAGCGACCCAGCCATGCAGACACTCAAGGGGGCGGAAGCACGGCGCGAAGCGCTCCAAATTACATGCTCCCCAAACCCGTGCTAGGTGGACAGGCGGACGCCTCAAACCGGTGGCCTGGCACTGCATGGAACGGCATGGAACGTTAGAGAACGCTTCAAAGCAATGCCTATTCAAACTGCTGTGAACGATCGGAAAAAACAAACATGACCACAAAGGGGTGGCAACTGCAGAATCCGGAGACCCAGCGCCCACTGGTGCGAGGCTAGGCCGCGCGCCCTGGCCGCCGCATCGGCAGGCAACTCCTCCAGCAGCTGGTGCGGCAGCGGGCGGCCCAAGCGCGCCCTGTCCGCCCACGCCCCGCAGCAGTCCGCTCACCACTCGAGCGCGGGCCTGCCAGATGGTCGGGCGCTCTTAGGGGGCCACATGCGAACCCTACCCCTACCCCCCACGATTTCGGAGGGAGAGGGTGGGGTTCACTTCGCTCGGGAGCTCCCGAGCGAAGTGAACCCCACCCTCCCCCTCAGAAATCGTGGGGGGTAGGGGTAGGGTTCGCATGTGGCCCCCTAGCTCTGCCGAAGGCCGCCACTGAGCCGCCCCTACATCAAGCAGGCCTCTGGCCACGCACCGCAGGCTGCGGAAGGTCTGCCGTGCAACCCTGGGCAGCCCCGAGGAGCGCCCCCTCGTCCCCGAGGCTGGGCGCCCACCGTCGCGTGGTGGAGCGCTCCGAGGCGGCCGCGAAGAATGCTCGGCGGCGGCGGGCGGCACG